CCCCCCCCCCATGTCTTTGGGGGGGCTCTTCCGGGGAGCAACTTCCGCCCATAAAGACGGCGGCAACCTCGGGGGCGTAAGGGTAGTGGTGGTGGTGGTGGGGGCAGTTCAGCGCGCATGCGCCCTTCCCTCTTCCCCCCTCACGCCTCAGGTCAATCAATCGGCCCGTATTTTATTCGCGTGAGGAGGGAGGGTGTCGAGGGAAGGGGGCGGGGCGGGGGTGAAAGGAGGGAGAGAAAACCTCGCGCGCGTGCCCAGCTGGCGCGCGGCCCGAGCTCCCCCTCCCCATCGGTGAGGACCCCTGCGCGCACGCGGGAAGGAGAGGCTGCCATTGGCGTCTGCGCGGCGTTAGCGTTTCCACGCTCCCCACCCCCCCCGCGGGCGTCCATTGGTCCTTCGCCGAGGCGGGACACGCCTCTTCCTGCCTGTCGCCGCCGGGACTTCCGCCGTTCGAGTTGTTGTGGTGGGGGGGTGGGGTGAAAAGAGCCCTTCGCCGCCGCCGCTCCTGCCGCCCCCGCTTTGTGCTCCTCAGCTCGCCCGGGGCCCTTGAAGGCGCGGTGAGTGAGCGAGCGAGCGAGCGGGCCGCCTCGGCCTCGGGCCGCGGCCGAAGAGAAGGCGGGGCGGGGGGGGGCAGCGCTCCTGCTGAAGGACCCCGCGGGCCTCCCGCTTTGCCACGGAAAGGGCCCCGGCGGCCCCCTTAGCCGCCCCCCCGCCACCCCCCCCGGCCCTGGCGGCGGCGGGGTCGAGAGCTCTAACGAAGCTGCTGCTGCTGCTTCTTCCCCCCTTGAGGCGGGCCCCGCCGGGAACCGGGCCTCCCCGGGCCAGCCGAGGAAAACGGGCCTTGCTCGGAGGCCCCGAGGCCCGTTGGCGCGGGTGGGATGGGTAGGAATCCCGCCCTCAGGGAAGCCACTGCCCCCCCCCCCCCCCCCTCCCAAGGCTGGGCCGGGCCCGGCCCGCCGTCCGGGTCGCCCCCCCCCCCCCCCCCCGTTAAGCCTCGGGGAAGCGACGGAGCTTCTGCTTTTGCAGCGGCGTTTGGATTCCTTGCCTGCAGATCGAAAGGAAGTGGCGGGGTGGGGTGGGGGGGTGCTGACAATCCAACTTGCCCCCTGCTTTATGGGCTTTGGGGCTGCACGGGTCGCTAAACGAGACCGTGCAACCTTTGCAAAAAAAAAAACTTTGCAAAAAAAAAAACCAACCCCAACAACAATCCATTGCCTCCCAAAGGCTTAGGGGAGACCTCTCTCCACCCCCCCAGGTTTCCCATACAGGAATAACTCCTTAGATTTCATTTCATTTCACGTTTTCTTCCAGAAGCTCCAAACCTCACATTTTTGACAACCAACTTAACACGGCCAAGAAGAGAGGATTCAAAATGTGCCTCGTTATAGCTTAGAACACCCCCCCGCAAAATACCTGATTTATCGCAACTTGAGAACTCCCAAATGTTGCGATCCGCTTTTTTGCCGTTGTGTGACTTTTGCTAAAGGGGGGGTCGGGGTGGGGGAAAAAAGTGGTTAACGGTGCATTTGTAGACGCGGGTCAAAGTGTGGGGATGGCTTCTTGCTTGCTTTCCAGGTTTAAATGTTCTTGCCTTATTGTGCAGAAGGGGGTGGGTGGGTGTTTCTGGCTTCCAATACAGGGGAAAAAATAATAACCCTTTGCAACTTGGCTTTGTGCAGTGGGACTAAACAATTGCAGCATCGGTTCAGGGTGTCTTGTGCTTGTTGCTTCAGAGGGTTTTTGGAAGGGCGGAAATGTGTGAAGCAGAAATACTGGCACCCGCAGTAATGCTAAGCGATGAGAATACTTTCCGTGTTAGAAGTTGGGCTATTTATAAGGAGAAATTGGATATAAATTTTAAGGTTATATTAAGCTTTTCTCTAAAGGGTAAACAGTCTCCCTCCTTGAAAGGGAGTGCAAACAGATTTTTTTTTCTTTAAGAAATCCAATCATAGAAACTTCATTTATTTATTTATTTTAAAAAGCCCGTCTTGTTCACATCGTTTCTTCCACTTATCAGGAGGATGGGAAGAGGCCCGCAGCCTTCTTAGAACTGTACCTTCTTTCCCCAGAATTGTAATCCTCTTTTTAAAAACAAAAAACCAAAAAAAGATCATTTTTTTGTATTGTTCTTTCATCTTAGTTTAAAATAGTTCTTTGTAGCCGGAAAGAATAGCTTTTTTCCCCTTGGATTCCTTGAGCGTTATATTTCACCCAAATCATACGACTCAGCCATTCTACTCTCCCCCTCCTGATGTTTATTAAAGGACACCTTTGGAGTCCGGTCTGGGTAGCAGGTGGAGATGGTGACAGCTGGCAGGGCACTTTGGGGTTGTTTATAAAACTTGCAGGGCTCCCTTGGTTTAGTTGGAGGGCAACAGAATCTGGATTGGTTTTGGCTGCTGCTGCTGCTGCTTTGCTTCCGTTTGAGCTTCAGGTGAGGGTTGGCTTCAGGTGTGTCCCTCTGGCATATGAGTGGCACATATGTATGTGTATCCCCCACCCTTGCTTGCTTGGCTGTGTTGTATCCTCCTCATGTCCTACCTTGCTAGCAAAGAGTCTGGTTTTCGGAGGCGGTTTCAGCTTAGCCGCCTAAGTTTAAGTAACGGCCTAAAAAGGGTCTCGCTGCTTCTCTGCGACCGTTGTTGTTTTTGTTTGAATGTTGTTTGTGACGCTGCCAGGTGAAAGGGAGCTAAATTTTGATTTAAGGTTTTTTTGTTTTTGTTTCTTTGTTCTTGACGACCTTCTTCACACCAAATCTTTTTTTTGTTGTTGTTTTTTTTGCACTTCTGTTAGGAAGAGTCCTCCTTCCCCTGGAGGTTAAGCCCTGGGGCCTCCAAAGTGTGTTACCCTCCCGTTGAGGCTAGACATTAATTTAAATGGCGACTGAGCTGTCTGAAGCCGACCCCACACAACACCGTAAGGCAGTTCCACTCTTAACAGGAGCTCCCCTGGACAAGTTGAGTGAGGTAGGGGCTGACCCCTCTCCACGCTTGCCCTTGGATTGGCCTTTGCAAGGGCCCTCGCGCCTCTTTCTTCCCCCTCTTGCTTCTAGGAATCTCAGCTGGACTCCATCCATCCGCCCTTCCTTACCAGGTGTTGACCCCTTCCTTTCCTGCTTCGCCCCCCCCCCCCAAATGCTTCCCCCCTTTCCCCGCCTCCTCTGCCCCCACCCGCCTGTCGTTCTGAGCTGGAGCAAAAAAATAAAAAAACACACTCGTGAAGTGCAAAGCGGGAAAGCTGGACCCTCCAAGCTGCTGACGATCCCAAGCACGATCGCCTCTCTTCTCAGATGGTGGCAGTGGGGATCTCTCCCCAGCCTGTCAGTGTGTGTGTGTGTGTGTGTGTGTGTGTGTGTGTGGTGGGGGGTGTGAGGGCCTCCTTCATTGGGCTCCTCCTGACGCTTTGCTCTCTTCCCAGACAGTTGAAGACGGAGGAGCCATGCCGATCCGCCGGGCAGTAAACGCTTCTTCTCGGGAAACTCCTCCCAAAAGCAAGCCTGCTGAAGCTGAGGAGACCAAGCCAGGTAAAGTGGAGCGGTGTGTGTGTGTGTGTGTGTTTCAGTCTCACCTTGACCGCTGCAGTAGCAGGTGTGTGTGTGTGTGTGTGTTTAGATTACCATGCCAGGCCTCTTTGAGTCACTGCAGAACCATTGACTCGGGGGGGAAGAGGCGAGCTGATTTTTTCGGGCCGCGCGCTGAGATCGTCGTAGCGTTTAAAAGAGGCCCGGAAAGACCCCCCTCGAATTGTAATCAATTTTTAGGCCGACCGTAAAAGGGGATTCTGCTAGCTTCATTCCGCTGCCTGGGTGCTCTCAGTGGTCATTTTTCAAGCAGGCCTGCTTATTGGCCTGAGCCCAAATGCCTGAGTGTTCTGCCATTGATCGAGGAAGGGAAGGGGGGGGGGGGGGCCTTAAAAAGCTGTATGCTTTTATTGGGGGGGTTGGGGGGGGATTGATAGTTGAGGAAGACCGGAGAGAGGTTTGGAATCTGGTTCCTGCAGCGGGCAGGCATCTCTCAAGGCCACCTTCAAGGCTCCCGAGGGTGGAATTTCACCAGCCTAAACACCTCTGAGTTTCTCATAACATGGGGGAGGAGGAGGACTGGACTGTGTGCGTGAGCGGGGGTGGGGGAGGACTAGGGGAGACCAGGTGTTTGGGTTCTGAATGGAAGCGTGGGGTTTTTTTTGACTCCTGCAATCGGCGCCTCTTAGCGAAAGCGCCTTTTTCACTTCAAAGCGGGTAGAGAGTTTGACTTCCCTTAGGGGCAGGTTGCGCTGAGCCCCTTCCACCGCTTTAAATTTCCTTCCTACGACCTGGCTTTGCCGTTTAGAGCCTCGTTGGGCAGGAGGACTTGCCAGCGCGGTGTTCATCTAGGAGAGATGCCCCAGACTGGGCTTTGAAGCTTGCAGCTGTAGGACAGAGCAGGTGGAGCCGAGGGGGAGGATTGCAGCTCTCCAGCAAGAGGGGGGGTGTCTCTTATCTCCCCCCCCCGCCTTCCCTGACCTTGTTCGTTGAAGTTGCCAAGGCCAGATCTTGCGAGAATCTCTGCAGAGCCCCTTCGCTCTCCCTAAGCGGCCGTGCCAAGCCTTGCCGGGTAGCCCAAGGGCCCGGTCTTCCGCAGGGAGTTTCTGATCCTTTGCCCCTGCTTGCCCTCTTTCCCCTCTGCCCACCAGAACCGGATGTCAGTTCGGAAGAATCCGCCTCCACCGTGGAGGAGCAAGAGAATCAGGCTCCTCCGGCTCCCGCCGCTGACCCAGAGCAGCCGAAGGAGGCTGGGGAGGAGGAGGAGGAAGAGAAGGCCGATGTGAAGCCCGCCGAGGAAGCCAAGAAGGAGTAAGAAGCCTGAAAGGGGGGTGGGGGGTGGGGAGGGAACAGGGAGGTGGACTGGAGAGGCCAACGGCCCTTGCTAGAAAGGTATGTACTTGCTGCCCCCACAATACAATCCACACCCCTGTGATCCAGCTGGCTGGCATGGGAACACGCGGGTTTCAAAGCCCCCTTGGCCAGAGGGGTTGCTGCCTCAGACCACAGTGGCGCCTCATTTCTTCCGGTTGGCAAAGGAGACTGACCCACGCTTGGGGCAGTGGCCCAGGTTTGTCCTCTGGCCGAGCAGCAACTTGGGGCTCTCAGGTCCGCCGTCTTCGGCTTGGCGCCTCACTGGTGCCCTGCCATCAAAGGACCGGGGTGGGGGATAGAGACGGAGGGGGGACACACGAGCAGTAAACCTGTGTGTGTTTATGTGGGAATTTGGATAGGGGTGGGGGAATGACAGCTGAAGAAAAGGAGATCAGCGTGGAACGGGTTCGTGCCAGGCGTCTTTGAGGAGGTTTGCCCAGGGTGTGGAAAGTTTTGAGCCCAAACACCTCGGTGTTCCCCAGATATCTCTCTCAGCAGCACCGCATTGGCTGGAATTGGTCTGGTGATGGGGAGAGGGACTGGGAACGAAGGCAGGGGGAAACTCAGATTCCGCCTGGCTTTACTGCAACTAGCCTCTCTTAGTCAGAGCACCTTTCACTTGAACCCAATTGGGAGTCGAGGGTTTCTCTTCCCTAAGGGACCAGGCTGGGAAGGTCTGACAGGGGCAGCTGCTAGCATGGGTTTGGTGGCCTCGTTGTGGCCCTGGGACGGGAGACCTGCGGGCGGGGAGGGGGCTCGTAATGCGGGAACGGGTTTTCAAGAAAGGCAGCTGCCCGCTCGTTCCTTGCCTCACGTCTTTTTCTCGCCCGCCAAGGGAGAAGGATCCGGAGAAGGAGAAGGAGAAAGAGAAGAAAGTGAAGAAGACGATTCCCGCCTGGGCCACTCTTTCGGCCAGCCAGTTAGCCAGAGCGCAGAAGCAGACGCAGATGGCAGCTTCTTCGCGGCCCAAGATGGATGCCATTTTGATCGAAGCCATCAAAGTGAGGAGGGGGAGCAATGGGAGCGGGGCGGAAAGACACCCCAGCCAGTTGGCTGCCAAGACGGATGCCAGGAGAGAGATGCCCACACAACTTCTTTGCCCTCTCCCCCCCCCCCCCCCCCCCGGCGTGCTATCAGAAAGGCGGGGCGTCCGTGGTCGCCATCCGAAAGTACATCATCAGCAGGTACCCTTCGCTGGACCTGGAGCGGAGGGGGTACCTCCTGAAGCAGGCCTTGAAGAGGGAGCTGGAGCGGGGGCTCATCCGGCAGGTAAGCCCCTGGGCCCGCCCCTTGGAGCTGCAAACCGGCCACGGGCGTTTATAGAGGGTGGCAATGCGGAAAGTCCGTCCGGGCATTTGGGACGGGACTGTTATCTTGCCCTCCGCTCCGTTCCCCGCCAGAGCAGCTCCTGCCTTGGCGTCTGGAATGAGCGTCCCTCCCTCCTAGGCGGACCCAGCCAGATTGGATCAACGTCTGCGCAAAGCCCATTTCCACCCCATCCTCCTTGCCCCCATCGAGCGGGGTATATGCTGGGTGCCCTTTGCATTTTATTTAGTTATTTTTATTTATTTATTGAATTTACATTGCCACCTATTCTCTCGTGGCGACTCGAGGCAGCTTACGCAATGTAAAACCATATTTAAAACAAAAAATAAAAACTGTTATTTATTTATTTTTATTTAATTTACATTGCCACCTATTCTCCCGTGGCGACTCGAGGCAGCTTACACAATGTAAAACCATATTTAAAACAAAAAATAAAAATAAAAACTGTTATTTATTTATTTTTATTTAATTTATATTGCCACCTATTCTCCCATGGCGACTCGAGGCAGCTTACGCAATGTAAAACCATATTTCAAACAAAAAAATAAAAACTAGCAAAAAGAATCAAATAAATTAGTAAAGTACAATAGAACAACGTTTGGGAAAAATAATTTTTTAAAAAACCCAACTCCCCCACCCCACTCCCCACCCCAACGACAGCCGATCACACGAGCCATTTGATGGGCTCCATCCCTCTCTGGGTTCCCCAGGCCCGCTGGCCGAACCAGGTCTTCTTCAGTGTTAGCGAGGGGGCCATTCTAATCTCGGGGGGGGGGTTCAGAGAGAGGGAGCCCCCACAGAGAAGGCCCTTCTTCTGGGTCCCACTAGGAGTATTTCCCTCAGGGGTGGGACTCAAAGCATTTCCTGCCTCCTCGCTCTAATGGGGTTGGGTGGATGTGACTGGCAAGAGGTGTTCCCTTAGGTAACCCGAACCCAAGCCACAAAGCCTCCATTTGCAGGAGGTTTGTTTCCAGCCTCACACACACACACACCCATTTTTTTTCTGGGACAGGTGAAAGGGAAA